GGACAGCATTGACGAAGTGTCATATCTTCCGCCTCTAGGTAAAAGCGACTGCGTTGAACTGTTATGGAAGTACACGCTCTTTTCAATACCCGAGATATCCATAACAGTCAGAAGAAATATATGGAGAGGCAATTTCAATCAAATGAGGGCTGAACCCAGGCGCACATAATGCGGATCTGTATTTTCTGGTAAGATAACCCAGGACTAGGAAACATTCCGGGACATATTGCACAGGCTCATTGAAAAACATTGCCCGCCTTCGAAGAAAAGGTTGAACAACAGACCCCGATGGCTTATGCAGGCCTTAAAAACAGAAGGTAACAAAAAGCGACGACTGCGGCAAAAATCGCTTATAGACAGGATTCCTGAATCTCTAAGTGCGAACAAAATTCAAAGAAATCGGATCCAGGGCCTTATACTTAGAATAAGACGGGACTTCGGAGTGGACCTGTTTAACCGTGCCACCGTGAACTCCAAATTGTTTTACGGTAACCTCAGGCAGAGCACTCGTAACAAGGATCCGATACCCCTGCTGAGGACCGCCGAGGCTGTCTACATTGACTTCAAAAAGGCCTTCGATAGCGTGCCACACCATCGCCTTCTTTATAAACTCAGCCGCATAGGAGTAAGAGGACGGCTTCTGGCTTGGATAGAAAACTTCTTAATCGGCCGCCCGCAAACTGTCCATCTCAACGACAAACAGTCGGCAAAGGTTGCGGTTGAGAGTGGTGGTCCCCAAGGCTCCGTTATCGGCACTATTTTGTTCACTGTCTACATCAACAATTGCGTCAGCAAACTGGATTGTGATATTGCCATGTTTGCCAATGATATAAAACTCTGTCTCGTCATTTCAACAGCGGCTGACGAGGAGTTGCAGGCAAATCTGAATCGACACGAATAATAGTCAAAGGACTGGCTCTTACCGTTTAATGAGAGCAACTGCAAAATCATGCGAGTCGGCAAATTCAGCTCTTCGAACCGCACAGTTTATCGGCTAATTGACATACCATTGAAAGAGGTAGAAGCCCAGAACGACTTGGGAGTCTGGATCATGCCCTCGCTTCAACCCTCTCTGCATTGTGCAAAGGTAGCCAAGTATGCGATGTCGGTCCTATACCTCGTCAAGCGAAGTTTTATGCATTCAACGACGACTGCTTCACAAAAGTCTTCAGAACCTTCGTACGGCTGCAACTGGAATCCGCTATCCAAGCTTGGAGACCTTGGGCCACGAAAGACATCAACATCCT